TACAATGTTTAGGGATGGCAATGCGGCGGGTGCGGGGCGGGTTTGGCAAAACCCACAAAAATTTTAATCCGCTCCGCATAGCCATTTTTTCTGTTTTCAACCCGCCCCGCCCCACTTATTATTTTTTTTTTCCTAAAACAAACTAGTTTGACATTTTATACTACTAGAAGTTTAGATTGATAGTTCAATAGAAATGTACGAACAATAAAATATGATAAATAGCAATTTGTATATTGGATAGAGTGATTAAATGTTGAGCTAAAGACATAAAAGTAGTTTTTGCAGTTTAGAATTAAAATTTAATGGCATATTAATTTGTAGATCTAATCACTCTTATCCTAAGATTATTCATGATTCTGCCCCTAATTGACACTAGATAATTATCTCCACTGGAATATAAGGAAATTAGCAGTAAAAAGGAATACTTGTAGAAGAATAGTAGTTTTTCATTTTAAGAAAATTAAGTCACTTATGGTGTGACAGTGCTTAACTGATTATATATATCCCTTATTTTCTGAAAGTTAACTATTCATGCTTTCCAAAGTTAACCATTATCATTTTTAAAAATAAATTATTGAAAATAAAATAAGTACAAGATACAAAAACAAGAATGCTTTTCTTGGAGAGAAACCGAAATTAAATTGCTAGTGAGTTAGAATGTGAAATTTAGTGGAAATGATCACTTTGTTTAAGAGAAGATCAAAATTCAAAGCCAATCCGCATTAAACCCGCTACCAGCCTCGCATTAACTTTTTAAAAACTGGTTTAACCTGCCTCCCCGCAGAAGAGTAAACCCGTCCCGCCCAGTCCCACACTGTCCCATTGCCATCCCTAACAATGTTTATAGCTAAAAGTTCTACCATTTTGTCATATTGTTATGTACCAAATTGCAATTTCTAAAGGCACTGTATTAAACAACACAGACAAAATCATATCAACCAGGTAGACTTTAATTAACAATTTAACAAATAGGTTGATTATAGATGACACAAAGTTACACCAATCTAGTAGAGTTAGACAAACAATTGAACAAGCACAAAATATGCCAATCAGATAAAGTTTGTGAACAATTAACAATATAGATAGAATAAATATAGCACAAACTCCGGTAGAAAAATTCCTGAGAGCATAATTGTGTGCATTGGTCCGAAAGCTATTTTTTTAAATACGGCCAATTACAAGGATATTCCGCTAAGACCACCTCTTATAGGGCCATTCCTGTCAATCTCCCGTAAGCTAATCAGGAAAGGGGGGAAAACAAACAGACAAGAGACGTTTATTTACTTTATAGGTTAGTACTTCACGTCATTGTAGAATATCATCCTTAACGATGAACCAATTAGTGTCTGAAATAAATCTGAATGTTTCCAATTCTATGTCGTCAACTGATCCAGGATGGAGGGATAGACAAAGCGTATCCACATTGTTTACGTGTACCTACCACATACATTGTTATCACTAAACCATAGTTAATAGTTAATACATACATATTCTCACTTCTCTATATCATTTAAGCATAGTAAATTAATATAGTATGCTGTATACGAGAAGTTAGAGATCTGGTATCTATCATTGTCATTACAGCAATCTTTTTCACCCTATACAGTTTATACTGTCCTTGTCATAGCTTTTCTCCCATTGACAAATACCATAAGTTCATCTGCGACTTCTACAAAAGGAGAATCTCATGAAGAGGCATCTCTAACTAATAAGTTATAACAATGTGCATACACAAGTCCCTTCTTGTCTATATTTTCATTAATGTAGTGCTTATGCTTTCCTGAGTCGAGGGTTTATTGGAAACAACCTTTCTATGCTCACAAGGTAGGGGTAAGGTCTGCGTACACACTACCCTCCCCATACGGTGTGGGATAATATTTGGTATGTTGTTGTTGTTGTTGTTGTTATTGTTGTAATGTGCACACACGAGTAATTATGTATGAGAGAGTGAGAGAGAGAGAGAGAGAGTGCACAAAGGGGTATTTGTTATTAGAATTTAAGGTTTGCCGCCACATATTTTGTATGAAATCTTGGAATAATATAAATATATAAGACGAAGCTGACTGCATATTGTAAATGCTGAGAAGCATAACAATCTCATACTGAGGAAAAAATCACTCCATCTTCAAGTGTTCATTGGCCTGAAAACAAAAACGTGAAGAACTCAGATTAGTTCTCTTTAGACCAAAGCTGCTGAATCAGTGTATGCAATTGAAATTGCAGAAGCAAATTTTGGAAAACAATTCCATGTCCCCTTCCCACCCCCTCAACGACAAAAAAGAAAAGATAAAGAGATAAATAAAAGTTTTTTTTTTGGGTGGGGCGGGGTGTGTGTTCAAAGGAGAGTCCGAGAGGATTGGTGTGATCAGTTTGGACGTTCATCAACGTATTAAAGTGTACCCTAAATTATGCTTAAATACCAAATAGATACATCACTACTACAATAGTACGGAAATTCAAAATTTCCCATATTTTGCATCTTTAAAGGAGATTGAGTTATCCAACCTCTAAACACAAGATATACGATAAGACAAAATTTGCTTTGTTTCTAATTTGATAGAGATTAAGGGGAGCCTTGGAGCAACAGTAAAGTTGTCTCCGTTTACATGTCACGGATTCGAGCCAACCCGATGCTTGCATCATGGTAGGCTACCTACATCACACCCCTTAGGGTGCGGCCACTTCCCCAGATCCTGCGTGAATGTGGGATGCTAGTGAACCGGGCGGACCTTTTTTCTAATTTGGTAGAGAGACAGGCTCAGGGGTGACATGCAAAAAGAGCAAGGTTGGTTTCTGAAAGCAGAGAAGATTAGCATTCCCAGCTATATAAATGTTATACATACCATAGTTTTGATGCACCTTTGTGAATTTATGGATGGTTTTTATGAGGGAACCAAATTTCATGGACTTCAGGGGCCCCATATGTCTGCAGCCATAAATGAATTTAAACTCAGATCCAAAACCTTTTTGTAACATGTCCTAAAATTAGTGCACGGTCCAGAAACGTTAACAAGTTGCTAATTATTAAAAAAGAAAAAAAATTATAACCATGATTTGACCACAAGGGAAGACAAGAAGAATCAATTCAAATATGAACTAACTTTATACTAGGAATATAACTTTGAGAGAATCTTGTACCCTAAGACACTATCCCTTATGTTGTTTAATAACTCCAGATAATCAACAATAAGAATTTCATAACAGATGCATGTCTGCAGTCAGAGTTAAACTGTTCAAGACTATACCACAGTAGCAGTACCTTTAATATACTCAAATCAAATGAGCCGACGCATTATCTAGAGAGTCACATCATGCCACAGATAAGCAAAAAAAAGGCTAAGTATTTCAGCAGGGGTGTACTTACTCAATCTCAGTGTACCGGATTCTCCATGCTGGGAAACCCATGTGACATCTCACAGGACCATAAACTAATAAAAGATCAGGCTCTCGTCCCTCATAACCTGCAGGATTGATAATTTATCCACGTGTATAGAAAGCTATCGTTTAAGAAAAGATGAAAAATTCATATTGATGAATAAATCAGGCAAACAGGGGGAAGGAAGATAAATCGACAGACCTGCTGCTTGTAGAGCCTCAGACATGTCAGACTCAGTAATATTCGGTTTTCCTGGTTTGGTGCTGGCGTAATGCTTGACAAAAAGTAAATTAGCTGCCTTGGCCACGGCAGGTTTTGAATCAGCAAAAGAGACAAACTCCAGATCTACATGCTTGCGGCACAGAAGGATATCGGCAAAAGAAACATAAGACAGTCATTAGTGCAATATTATGTAGATTTAACTTTAAGCTGAGACCCGGATGGCATTTGCCATTAAATCATTTAAACCTCATTATTCCACAGTTTTCATTTGATTTTATCACTTAGTTTGTTTTTGGCTCTTTTCACTTTGTATCCAGTATTTCTAGGTGTGCTTGGCTCTTTATCACTTCTCATTCAATCTTTCAGGTCTCTGCACTCCTCCCTTTTCATTTGTAAGATATTTATTTATAAAACTGGTTACAAAGAGCAAAATTTTAAAAAAGCAAAAATGGCAATTGTAACTGGGACAAAGTTAGATGTCAATCACATAGAACCTACTAGAAAAAGTTAACTTTCTTATGTACCAATAATCTCTTCTCCTTCACCCCCTAACCCCACCCCAATATAACCAAAAAAAGAGGAAAAGAACATAAACATTATATAGAGAAAAAGTGACGAGAAAATCTTAACTTATTTTGTTTATCATTCTTCTTTTCACGATCCAGGTTCACAGTCCATCATAATTGTAAAAATAGCACTGGTGACACTTCATGCGTTTAAAGTTGCTTCAGATTAGCATTCGGTAAAAAAGAAGAGAAATGTAATTCGAAAGAAAATATTGGTCACTGTCCTAGGCACGTCCGAATATTAAGATTTAACAGACACCCAATAACTTAGAGAAACTAAAATATACTGAATGACGAGAAAGGGTCTTTTGAGGGTCTTCTGTTTTTTCTCCGACCTTCCTATTTTAAGTGACATAATGAAAATTAGAGGTGGATAAAATATTCTGAGTAGGTTATCATTATTGAGCTAGTTAGAGATATCTTTAAACATAATATTTCCTAGATCCAGAAAACGTAAGAAATATATGTCATCGTAAATATAAAAATATTGTGCACTCCTCCCCTTCCCAGAACGTTGCCTGCGTGCTTTTCAAGAGTCAACAGTCTAATGTTCTGAAATGAGAAAATCTCAACTTTCCTGATCCATATCAAAAAGATGGACAATCAAACCACAGTATCTTTCATATAGTTTCTCAATTTCTAACTTCTGAAATGACGAATTTATCTTGTCCATTTTTAATTCCATAGCTGTCAAATTACTTGCAGAATTCAAGAAAATCATGGGAGGGAGTAAAGTTTACTATCTTCCATTAATCAGATTCCTCGCAGATATAATTTCTGACAGTAAGTCAATTTTTTCGGTATAATCTAGCTAGAGAGCATGTCACATAGATTTGCAGATGCCTTAATTTCCAACAAGAATCACGCTTCACTTGAATATATCAGGACTTAAAAGAAAAGAAATGAAAGTAAAGGTAAATGTGTACCAAAATGTAAAAAGTACCATAACCCATAAGTCCAAAACTATGCAGGAACTTGACAATACCTCAGGCAAGGTTCCATGATCCGATCCATCTATGATGGATTCCTGGGACTTGTTCAATCCTTCTATAATGGCTTCCTGGGACTTTTTCAGCACTCCTACAATAAGCAACGACTGTGGGAATCATATTTTTAGCAGAGTCTTGTAGATGCATCATAAAGCACTCGAACAAGCTGGTGATAATTTTTTGACAACCTTACCTTCTCTATCATAGAGGCAGATGCTTTTTATACCAATAGATGCAAGCCAATGCAATAATTCAAGAACTTTTGAAGTTTGGCGAGCTTCTTCGCTTTCAATCACAACAGCCAGGTATCGCACTTTACTAATGTTAATGGCATTGTAACTCTTTAGCAACCCGCTAGAAATGAGGGTATTCTCCACTTTACGAGCTATGCCCAATACAGAGTACCAAACATTGATGATCAAGTGTAGGATGAGCCAGACCAAATGAAGACCAAGGTTACCACACTGAAAAAGATGTCCAAAACCAAAAGTAAGCTAATATATATACATTTTAAGAAAAATGAATATTATGCTCCTCTAAACATAGAAAGAATCTTTAAACCTATGTTGCCTAGACTCTCCAAAATGATGGCGCACCCATGTCGGATCCTCCAAAAATACACTATTTTGGAGGATCCGACACGCACCCGGCGACATTTTCGAAGAGCCCTTGCAACATAGCTTTAGACTACAATCCCCTTAAAAGCTGATAGCCTAATCACTTAAGAGGCCAAGAGAGTGACTGAGGAAAGGGGCTACTACTTTATCAACCTTTGTTACTTAGAGAGCCGAGAAGCAAGATGATAACTTTTCATTCATAGTATTCTTCATTGCTTACGGGAAGAAACTGCAAACCATAGTTGGGCAATGTTGAGTCCTTAGCAAATGAATTAGATTCAGCCATAATATAGATGCAATTGATACATTTCATATTATCTCTTTCATGTTTACAGCTCAATCTCAACGAACTTGAATGAGCTACTTTGTAACACAAGGGATCGGTTTAGTGTGACCAAAGACACTCAAAAACTAAACTCAATCCAGTTGAAGCTCAAAGGTTTCAAACACCCCTTCATGGAACACTTGGCTTTTGGGGTTTGGTTTTGGGGNCAATTTTTCACAATATAACTCATTCGTTGAGGGTTCGTAGGAAGTACTACATATTGTTGAAGGTATCCAAGTGAACTTTTAGTATGACTATCTCAACTTAACCTCCCTTTGAAATGTCTAGTACTATCAAGATTCTTCTACTTATAGTGAGCTATAATATCGCTAAGAAAAGAGACTCAACACAATTATTTGCCAAGAGATACTTTGAACCAATATCAGCGGGACAGGAACATTAACCAAAATTATGATGGCTTACCACAGATGTCCAGCTTAGAATCTTCTGCACCTCATTCCCTAAATCCATTGATCTGCAAATACTTCAAGAAAAAATAGGTGAAAATAAATAAATAGCTCTAATTTTCCCCACAAACTAGTAATATTAGTAATTACCAACAATCACACATACAAGAAAAGCTAAAGCAAAACTTAGTACTATCTGACATTACATTAACCTAAACAAGAAAACACCATAACAAGATGCAAAGCATCAAACTTTAGCAACTTGGTAGTGAGAAGCTTAAAAAGAACCCAACTTTGATTTATTATTCCTTCCAATAAAATAAACCCGGATTAAGAAAACTTACAAATTAGTGAAAAGGGGGACTGAAATCCGAAAAAGTTTAACAGAAAGGAAAAAAGCAGTGAGCAGCATAACACTTTAAAGAAAAAGGGATCCAAAAAAGAGATGAAACAGTCACCAATGAAGACGAAAAGTAAATTTAAAAAATTGGAGAAAGAAGAGAGATATTTTAGAGGGCAATGATAATACCTATATTTGGTCCTAAATTGAGGGAAGTAATGGGTGCATGATTTGATCTCAGTTCAGTTGTACACAGAGAAACAGAAATACGCTGTGTTGCAGTCACGGGAGCTTCGTCTGCCTCTCTCTAACTTGATGAAATTTGTACACGTGACGCAATCATCTAATTATTCAACCAATGCACACGCACTGCTTGTCAGTTGTCTCTCCCACTTCTTTTTGTTTTGTGGACTGAAGAAAAAACGTTCAAAATGTCCCTTAAATTGATCCCTCATCCCTAATAAGTAAATGTATAAGATGGTGAACAGCAATTTTAAGCCTGCTACTTAAAAAATATTTACAATTTATATGTTTAACGATTAGGCAATTCACCTAACTTCATGACTAATTATTCTGAATTTTTTGTATTCTTAATTTTTGTGCTGCTAATTTAAAATTCATGACTAATTGTCTTGAATTTCTAAATTGCTAATCTAAAATTCAGAACATAAGAATCGAATTAGTGACATAATTTTTGAACTTTAGGACACGATTTTAAACTTTGCGGTTTAAACTTCAGGACATCGTGTGCTGAAATTTGAACGAATTTACTAATTTTTAAATATATTGTAAACTATGAATATATTTTAAAGAACATACTTAAAAGTAACCGTATGATATCATTTTCACAATATTATTAGTTCTTCATTCTCTTTTAACGGGGAGAGAATGAGCCTTTATGGTCATTTACAATAGTGGGATTAAGAAATTTCACTAATGAATTGGGCGCTAGATAATTGTTTTTTTTTTTCATTTCATTTGTATACTTTTTAATTATCTTTTGTTTTATAAAATATGGATAGTTAAAAGTTTTAGGGGTGACTTATTTATTTGCTATAAATTTTGTTTTTACCGATAAATTTGGCATTGCAGTTATATATATTTTTGATCAAGTCACGCATAGTTTAATTATTTTAATCTGAGGAAAAATAGATTTGATTTTACTATTATAATAATAATTTTAATTTGATCAAAAATTTCATGGCTTTACGTTATAGGAGTATTGTGTAAAGTTAAATTGTTCGACCAAAAAATATAGATCTTGGTTCAACCAATTAAATTTATATCAGTGAGGGTTAATCTTAGTTTACAATAATATCCCAAAGATGAAATTCTCGGAAGTGCAATAAACAATATGTAGATATACTTCAATAGCAACGACGACACACAATCAATATTTAAGAAGTCATAGGAAATAATAAAATATTAAATAGTGTTGAACAACAATAAATGACACTTATGTAAATAGAACGGATGAGTCACCCAAGAAAGGATAGAATCAGTGAATGTTCTTTCTGACAATGATAAGTAATGGATGAGCCTTTTAATATCTAAGCTATTCTCGGATCCCGTGTAAAAGTGTGGACAAGAATCTTAGTGTAAAGGTTGCTTTTGTATGCTTGCAATAAGATCCGATTCTCTCTTTTAAAGTTAAAGTGTATTTTACAAAATGAATATCACATGTCCTCTATCATTGTGTCTCTTTCTTTTTTATAGGGAACATGTTTCTAGAAACCCTAATAGTACAATTCTCCTTCAGGTCCTATCTTAAAGCTAACCGTTATAACTCTATCAAGGGCATGCGACCTCAACATCGATTATTGACGACTCCTCGACTTCGATTTTTGCTAACTCTTCGACCACGACCTTCATTGTTGATTAGATCACTTTGACCCATGGCGACATGGAGATGCTTTACCAATATCATTTTGACTTATATTCTAGAGATAGATTTTGATCCATATATTTAGTCCCTCTGCTTATTGAGGTCGGCTTCGCGGACGGGTTCGATGAGCGAATCGTATTGTTGGTGGTCGAACTAATCAAGCAGACTACATAGGTCGTAGTTGTTGTGGTGAGCAGGTAACGTGGCCCTCTGTGGGCTGCACATTTCAAATGCTTCGAATTTCCCGGGCGATTTGTTGGAGTTAGGTTGTCCACGAGTTAGGATGACGTCATGATGTCATGCGTCATTATGACGCATATTCCCGATGTGTCGTTTTGTTTCGCGCGTGACCTTTAATTAGACTTGTCGCTTCGGTTCCAATGCCAATCATGATGAGCCGTTTTCGGTTTCGGTGCCATGACCTTTATAAATAGAGGTCTTTGAACACAATTTTGGAGTTTTAAATCTTCTAACGCTTCAAAATCCCATACCTTTCTCTTGCTCTCTTTTTCTCCGAATTTCTCTTCTCTGTTTCAGCGACTTACATTGTTTTTCATTCCCTATTATTTGTTATTCTCCTTCCTTACGTTGAGTCATGTCTAACGTACCTTCTGAGGCTGGAGAGGGGAGTCATGTTGCTCCCTTGGCGGTGGTGTTCCCCTCCCATGGGGAAAGCGTTCTTGCCACCGTTGAGGAGGAAACCTTTCCGTCGGTGGAGGAGATAATCCTACACAACCCTGATTCTAGATCCGATTTCACCAAATCACCAGAGGCCACCTCTGGAGCTTTTCAGTCAGTGATGACGGTGAAGGAATTAGCGGAGCTTAAGGCTAAATTCGGATTTCCCAATCATTTCGAGTTGATCCCGCCCGAGGGGGATACGATATAGGTCCACCGTCCTAGGTATAGCGCCCTCTACGCCTACCCCTTCCACGTCGGCTATTCTTTTCCCCTCCTTCCGCTGGTGGAATAATTCTATCATCACTATGGCGTTTGTCCTGCTCAGCTCGCGTCGTATGTTTATAAAGCTATAAAGATGCTCACTAAGTTTGCTGAGCTGGCCGGGGTCTAACTGACATTGCGACACTTAATTCATCTATTCGCTCCCACCTTTTATAGGGGAACAATGTTGAACCTTTGCCACCGAGGGGTAAATGCTTGGTGGTGAAGTTGGACGACAAGTTCAGTCGTCAATTTTGGTTTAACTTCTTTTTTGTTAGAACCGAGGATGTTGTGGCCAATGTTAACAACTTTCCTGAGGCTTGGAAATATACTCGTAAATTCTTTGGTTTCTCCCCCGTGTTCGGTCCTGAATTTTGATTTCTCGCTTTCTTCTTTTGTATCCAAGACTTGGCCTCCTCCTTTGGACGCTCATATTTCTGACTGGGTCGAGCGGATCCTCTATCACATCGCAGGGATTTGTGAGTGACCATGTGTTTTCAAGAAATTCGGCCCTACTCTCCCTTTGACTGGTAATTTACTTTTTACCATCAGCTTCTTGATCTTTTTGCTCGTTTTTCTTCGTTGATTTTCCCTTTTCTTGTTTTTGTCTAGCTTCGGCCAGGGGGTCTACGAGGAAGTCGAGAGCTCCCGCGCCCTCGTTACGAAAGAGGAAGGCTACTACGACCTCAATTTCTGCCTTTGTTTCGACCGCGACTGATCCTATCTTCGTTCCAGTTTCCTCTCTCATCACATCCGAATTTGTTCCTGCTTCGGTCGTGGATACTTCAGCTTCTTCTCAGGAAATAGGTTAGAACCACTTACCAATGATTTGGGAAAGAAGGAGTCTTGTAAAAATCGCCTCTAAGTTTTAGGTTTTGAAAATTTGAAGAATGAACCAAAAATCCCGTCTAAGTCATATTTTATTCAGCTGCAGATGTCGTATTTGCGAAGAATTCATCACAAATGCGAGAACCATCACACCTCTGATTTCTTCGCAAATGCGAAGAATAGTTCGCAAATGCGAACTCTGGCTGGATCGCAAATGCGAAGAATCCCCCTCCCCCTCCCAGCTCCCATCGCAAATGCGAAACATTGTTCGCAATTGCGAACTCTGGCCTTCCCCGCTACTCTTCGCAAATGTGATGAGTAGATCGCAAATGCGAACTCAACAATGGTCGCAAATGCGATGATTGATCTCGCAATTGCGAGATCTGAGGCCTGCAACAAAAACTGAAACACACTAGCAATGTTCTAAGTCCAAATTCACTCCGTAGCCTATCCGAAACTCACCCGAGCTCTCGGGGCTCTAAACCAAATATGCACACAAGTCCTAAAACATCATACAAACTCACTTGCATGATCAAATCACCAAAATAACGCCTAGAACTACGAATCGGACACCAAATCAAAGTAAATTTTCACGAAAGCTTTAAAACTTCTATTTTCACAACTGGACGTCCGAATCACGTCAAACCAACTCCGTTTCTCACCAAATTTCACAGAAAAGTCATAAATATGGTGTTGGACCTATACCGAGTTCTGGGACCAAAATACGGACCCGATATCTAAAAAGTCAACTATGGGTCATACATTTCAAATTCATTAAGCCTTTAGCTTTCAAATTTTAACAAAGTCCGATATTTCGGGCTAGGGACTTCCGAATTCGATTCCGGTCATATGCCCAAGTCCCAAATCACAATACGGACCCACCGAGACCGTTAAAATATGAATTCGGATCCGTTTGCTCAAAGAGTTGACCAAAGTCAAATCAAATGGTTTTCAAAGTAAAATTTCATATTTTTCATAGTTTTTAACATAAAAGCTTACCGAAAATCGAGGAGGGTAAAAATGAGATTTTTAAGTCTTTGGATCACAGAATTAGATTTTAAAACATAAGATGACCTATCGGGCCTGTCACGCCCCAAACCTGAAGGGACGTGGCCGGCACCCGGTACCATACTCGGCCTGAGCGTACCACTTTGTAACTGTGAACTCTAGAGGAATAACCCTCAACCTAGGCCAATGAGGCCATATTCTGAATCATCTGAAAATATCGTCTGTCTCATCTAAGGGGTAAACATACCCAAAAACTCATATATATATATATATATATATATATATATAT